TTCAGGGATCACAATCGTGATGAGGATGGACAATACAAGCAATCATAAATCAAAACTGTCCCGAAAGAGTTCTCAACGCTACCATCATTTTTGCAAACGATGTCCATCGCCACACACACTGTCTGTGACGACTTCATGAATACGTAAAATATAAACCGAGCATGAAGAAAACAGGTTAGAAGGAAAGACGCAGACAGAAGATGAATATGCAGATTTGAGGGTGGAAGGGAGGTTCCAACTCCATAGGAAGAGAAACGCGACCTCGACATGATGCACATGCCGGAAACAGTCTGAATATGCGGCCAAAGTTGCAATGAAGCACCATTCTCAGCGGAAACACTGGAACAGAGCAGATATCGAATCATGCATACAAACAATTTCACAACTCAAGTCCCAGTTACTGGAGTCAGGTAATTAACTCAATTCGTATTAAGTTAGAAAAAAACAACCACCGTTTAGAAACGTACCCTTGGGTCAGCCAGCAGTCATGGTTTCGTCACACATAAGCAAAACATATAACCATCTAATCAATAACGTCACAACAGTCACCGGATGGGGCAGTTATGGAGATGAGCAGAAAGAAGCAAAACTTCATGAAAACGTCTGCTTGTTGTCAGTGCGTTGGAAACAGAAGACCAATCGCGTGATTCCTACCTAAAAGAAATGCCGTTCGCACTCAAATACAAATGTACAAAGCCAGACTCAGAAAGTGACAAGCCGACAAACGGAAAGCTGGCAAAACTCAAAGGCAACTTCGATCACAGATGTTTTAGGGGACCAATGCCGAAAGAATGCGCATGGCTGGGACCGTGGTTTCGAAGTGGAACCTTCCAATGTCGGCCTTGACCCAGTGATGTGAAACAATGCCCGTCATCCACTGATGCTGACAATGCTTGTGATCCCATACGCACGTCAAGGGTGACTTGACGATCAAATGGAGGTAATAAACAAACGCCAATTAACGACAGCACGATTTGGATCGGGTGCCATGATTACGTGGTTAAATTTGCTTTCACTCAAGATTAAAGCCAAACCGACGGTGACAATCGCTTAAACGCTCAACTTCACCAAAACCCTTGGACCGCGACAGATGACCTTAACATCAGAAAGGTGTATAATTAATAACTAGAGTAGAGGTACGACCGGAATTGCCGGCTGCCACTACGACAGATCATTACGAAGCAGGTGGATGACGGACATGCAACGAAGCGAGGCCATGGGACGCTGATGCCCTCAACCATGTGAATGAAGGAAATCGTCATTACTCCTCGCCATGACCCAGTTATCATTATGCTGTATGTTTTCGGAAGCGCCAAGGAACACTGAAGACGGAATTTATGAATGTGCGAAAATACCTAGCCATTTTTCTTTCTCCTTATCAGTAACATCTGTCTAAAGCACGTGCTCGATTCAACTGTGGAATTGAAGCTGATACCCAGCGCCCTGCGGCAGATCACATTAAATCACTACTGGCGTTTCTGGTCAATTAAGCAACGATTTAGTCCACTGTTACTCGTCAAGGAATATGGTGACCTGATTGAAGGCACTGAATTGAGAAGAAATGTATAAAGACCATACTAAAGATGATTATCGGTTCATCCTCGACCGGTCGCACGTGTGGAACTGCAACTTTTGGCGACCGCAGCGGTGAATTATTCAAAAATCGATCGGCTGGCTAAAGCAAAGTGTCACATCCATGTGTCCAGGGGTGTGTCTCAGAGTCACGGCTGCAATGAAAATCGTTAAAACAGCTTACATCTT